CCTGTGGAAAGTCATCACTTTGTTCTGAGTGTCTCAGCAGGATTTCCCACTGCTGAGTTGTGTTTTTCTGTGCGCTATGCTAACCCGCTGCAGTTTACACTGTTTTCCTGGCTGTTAGGACCCTCACGATGCAGCCCACTCCACCTGCAGAAAGAGCCTGAGGAGAATACAGAGCAAGAATTTAACTACTGACCTCACACATGCTTTGCTGTTAGAACATTGCTATTACACTGCTACTTTTTAACCCTACCTTTTCATGCCACTGCAGCAGGACAGTGCTGCTGTTCTCGGACGGCTGCTCGAACCCCTTGTAGATGTATTTCATGAGCAGATCTACTCCATTTTTATCCAGAGACTGAACTCCCTTCTCTATGTCAGTGCTCTTAAAGGAGCTGAGCACCTTCAGCACCAACCTACATCCAGAATGTCAGAAAAATGCAAGTATAATCCAACTATATGAAGTTTTGTGTATTTCTGCGACTTTGAAACCCACTACAGTTAAGTGAGTGGAACTCCATGTCGTTATTACAGTGGATAGCTGTGTGCATTTATTTATTGCTGTCCTTTTTGTAGAATTTCGTACTTGCATTGCTTACCAAACTTACAGTGTCCCAGAACAGTGTGAAATTATTAGAAATCAGTGTAGCATAAGAATGATTTTGAGATTTTTTTCAAGGCTTAAAACTTGCACTTTAACAGAGAAGTTAGCTGCATGTTTACAGGTGTGTGTTGTGTTTTTCTGTGCGCTATGCTAACCTACTGCAGTTTACACTGTTTTCCTGGCTGTTAGGACCCTCACGATGCAGCCCACTCCACCTGCAGAAAGAGCCTGAGGAGAATACAGAGCAAGAATTTAACTACTGACCTCACACATGCTTTGCTGTTAGAACATTGCTATTACACTGCTACTTTTTAACCCTACCTTTTCATGCCACTGCAGCAGGACAGTGCTGCTGTTCTCGGACGGCTGCTCGAACCCCTTGTAGATGTATTTCATGAGCAGATCTACTCCATTTTTATCCAGAGACTGAACTCCCTTCTCTATGTCAGTGCTCTTAAAGGAGCTGAGCACCTTCAGCACTAGACCTTCAGCACGATCCTACATCCAGAATGTCAGAAAAATGCAAGTATAATCCAACTATATGAAGTTTTGTGTATTTCTGCGACTTTGAAACCCACTACAGTTAAGTGAGTGGAACTCCATGTCGTTATTACAGTGGATAGCTGTGCATGTGCATTTATTGCTGTCCTTTTTGTAGAATTTCGTACTTGCATTGCTTACCAAACTTACAGTGTCCCAGAACAGTGTGAAATTATTAGAAATCAGTGTAGCATAAGAATGATTTTGAGATTTTTTTCAAGGCTTAAAACTTGCACTTTAACAGAGAAGTTAGCTGCATGTTTACAGGTGTTTGTCTGCACAGCGTGCGTGAACGCGCTGATGACGTATCCTGTCTGCGCGAACAGGGTGTGCAGAGGTATGCTAATACATATGTTGACAGGCAGGTAGGAAAGCATATTAAAACGCTTGGACCGGGCGTTTTGATTGGACGAACATTTCTTGATCCTACGCCTTCCACAGAATATATAAATACAGACAAATACATTTAGACCACTTAACTTAATGATTGCTATCAGGATGTGAAGAGACTTTCAACCAGCATAACAAAAAATGTTTCTGAAGACAATCACCTATTGCACCTTTAATGTGCAACAATGCAACATTTTCTATACAATTTTATATCCAAAATTATGTTGAATCTGACAACAAAATGCTACGATTTTATATGACATCGGAGGAAGATCTTAGGAAAAAAGGTGGCATGACTCACCTTGACGTTCTGATTCTTTGTGTTGATTGGTGGGTTTTTTAATACTGCCTGCAGGGCACCCATACGGTTCCCTTTGAAGAGTGGAGTTAAGAAAAACACCAACACAATTTAAATATCTATGCATGCATGAATACATGTGGCTTTACAATATCCAAATGCTGTGGACATGCTGCATTTGAGGAAAAGGGGGAGGGGGAGTTAAAAACAGGAAATAAGGCCTTGGGTACTCCAAAATTGACATATAAGGACATGAATTCAACTTCCTTATACTAAATACTGCATCAGTTTCAAATGACAGAAGAACCTAATATTTATAAACTCCACAGTTTGAAACTAATATGTTGTAGTATCTTTTTCAGAAACAGTTTTGTTAAAAAGAATGTCTGGAATGTTAAGGCATGCCAGGACTTTATAGAGATGTGAATATGAGCTAATACATGTTCATAATGCAGCACGAGAGGACATTGAAACTTAAGTATGTTTGTGACGATTCTCGCTTCACTTATAAAGGTAAAAACGGATCTATAGACAACGCTATCAATATTGCATGTCACCTGATCGGTGCCTGTGCAGTAAAATAAATGTAAATGAGTACAATTGTGCAGAGAACCCAGTTCTGTCTGTGTGGAGTCTTTGATGTACAGAAATCTGCAGGCCAGCTGGTGTATCAGGCAACTCATGAATTATGAGAAGCAAATCAGTGCATATAAATGTTGACGTAAAACAAAATTAAATCGACTTTCCTTCTACTGTTAAAAACTTTTTGCTGCAATTATTTATGCACTTTTTTTTCAGCAAAATATTTAATTGGCTGTATTATATCCATTACTGATGTAATAATTACCCACTCAAAGATAAAGCACACGAAGATTATTTATATGAGCTGGTGCCAGTGAAAATGCAAGACTATTACAGATCATGTACATGTTGGTCGGTGAATAAAGAAGGATATTGTCTGATGAGAGAATCCACCTCTGCCTCATCTGGACCCAGCTGGTTTTCTCCTCCCTCTTCCTCGTCTACAAACTTGTTCTCGTCGTATTCATCCACATCCACTTTACGGAAACGATCGGACACCGTATTCTTTGACATGATGAAGGCTATTTATTCCCCGTCTGATGTACAGCTAAACGCTATGTTTCGCATGAACACAATCTTAACAGTCCTCTATGCTAAACCAGCCTGGCGACTCCTGCAGCCTAGTCAGTGGTGGATTCCATAACTTCCGCATAGCGAGCCCTCTATCGGGAACACCGGTGAACTGAAGCGCTCTAATTCATAATCCAGTGATTCTCAACCACTAGGGGACCTCAGCAAACGTCCAATGGGTCTGCAAGACGATTTAAAATTGTTTAAACTAAATTACTTATAACTAAATAAACTCAAGTGTCCAACATGTAAATTAAATGTCATTCTTATTTTGATTTGCCCACAAACATCGGTTGATAAAACACAGTTCTTAATCTCTGGAGTGACAAATTTAATTGTGGTTGTGGCTATTTGCACTTTTCATTTCACTTTTCGTTATAAACGAGGGACCTTTTTAGATAAAAAAAAAAAAAAAAAAAAAAAAAAAAAAGCATCTACTAATGAATAAATAAAAAGTTCGACAATCAAAATCTTTTCTGCTCCGTCCATAAATTAAAATAATAATATTAAAATGTATTATAATTTTAAATTATAATAATATTACTTACATTAAAATTTGTATAAAAGTTGGTCTGCCTATTAATCAAAGACTAGATGTAATGTGATAGATAGACTATTTTAATATGCAGACGGTAGAGGGCGACAGAACACTTTCATTTGCTGTTTTAAAAGGTTTGGCGTTTTTCACGCTTGAATGTTAACCCATTCGAAACCGGGGGTAATCGTAATCTAGGTCATTGTGTTGCATGTTTCACTGCTGCTCAGTTAGTAATTAATCCTGGTTTCGAGATTCCACACTGTAAACGTAAACTCTGGGTTAATGTTCTTATTTGCATATTTACTATTAGGTCAATAATATTCAGTGGATGAATACGGCTCCATACCTGATTGGCATATGTTTGTTACAAACATATTACAAAAACCAGAATACAATAAATAAAAAAACTATATTAAAAAAAAAACGAAAAAAAAACAACAACACTACTTCAAATTATGAAGACATATTTGATTATCCAATAACCACCCGTTTACCGATTCAGAAAAAGGAGCAAGAGATGTAATATTTCTTAATTCTATGGGTATAGTATTCCAAGTATGTACTGCTCTATAAGAAAATACTGATTGCCCATTTTAGTTTTACTTTCCTTATATAACTGTTTATAATTTTTTGAGCTTCAGTCATAAAAGATGTACAATTTTGATCTACACCCTCATATGTTAAATATGCGTCCCAGTCTATTTTTTTAATTGTTTTTTCAAGACTATCCAACTGACTTTTAGGTATTTTATATTTTTCTACCTTCTTTTCAGATATTAAATTAAATCTGGTTTTAATGAGCTTTCTTACAATCAAAATCATATTATGATCGGATAGTCCAGTTACAAGATAGCATTTTTTTTTCCTTCTTGGTCTATTTGTAAAAGCCAGATCAATACATGTTTCTAAATATCTAGCCTGGTTGACCCTTCAATAATCTGTTTAAAATCATAATGACCAGTTAAAGTTTTTAATTTCTTCCTTTGTAATTTATCCTTCCAATTTACATTAAAATCTCCTAATAAAATTATCTCCTTATTTGTATTACATTTTTTGATAAGGGCATCCAATTTTTCATAAAATACAGCCTTAGCAGATGGCGGTCTATAAATTCCAATTACAACAAATGACATTCGCTCAGACAATATTAATTTAAGACCAATACATTCTATCTCGTTCATACAAGACCACTGAAATTGCTCACATTTTATACTATCCTTAACATAAAATAGCACACCTCCAACCCTTCCCATCTATTCGATCTCGTCTAACATTTGATAACCCATCACATTTTCTGTATACTGAGCTTGATTCATTTCCATACACGGTCGTACCGAATTGACTACAAGTGCCACAACATAGAACATAGTCCATAAAATAATCTTACTTCGAAAAAAGTGGCTATGAACGAAGCAATTTTTAGGAAACTGTTGGCTTGATAGCAGCGAGCCAGCACCTGCCCTACCTCTCACTGCTGCCGACGCCATTTTTGTGCCCTGACGCCATGTGATGTGACCTGTTTTAATAACTGCAGGTCCGTTTGAAAATATCGCCAAGTTCACTTTGGTAGTATTAAGTCTTATGAGACTTAAATGAATAATAATAATATCTATTTTACAGTGCAGTTCATCGGCATTTTTAACTGTTTCAGTTTTGAATGCTAAACAGCGCGAACGTTTCTGCAGCTGTAGACAGCATGGATATTTAGTGAGGTAAGTTCTGAGGCAGTTTATTATTGGTTGTCTGTTGCTAAAGAACTTTTTTTTTAACATTCTGGCATCACAATTCACACTGTAATTGACACAAAGCAGTGTGGGCTCCTTTCAACATTACAAGTGTGAAAAGTTGCTTAACCCAAGGGTTAAAACTTTATCGATCTGCCAGGGGCGATTCTAGGATTTTCATTTTAGGGGGGCCTCAGCCTCCAGTGAGAGAATAATAATAATAATAGCCTAATAATATATATATATATTAAAAATGTTTGATTAATAGAGGTCGTAGGCTATACTAAACTTATTGCTATAGCCCCCCTAAAAATGTCCTAGCGACGCCCATGTGATCTGCAATGTTGGACAGCACACAATAGGTTAAAAAAGCTTTTGAAGACTCACTTATCCGTACGGGACTGTTAATCTTTACAAAGAGTTTAAAGACATGGGCAATTCAATGTGTCGTGTTTTTTTATTATATTCAGTGCAGGTGACACAAGGACGTAATGTGTTTGTGATGCAATAACTGTGTAGGCTGGATGTTTAAAATGGGAGCCTCATACTTTGCATAACAAACCTCCTGTGACATACACAAGGCATTCCTTAAAGGGATAGTTCATCCAAAAATTAAAATTTGATATTTATCTGCTTACCCCCAGGGTATCCACGATGTAGGTGACTTTGTTTCTTCAGTAGAACACAAACAAAGATTTTTAACTCAAACCGTTGCAGTCTGTCAGTCATATAATGGAAGTGAATGGGAATCACGGCTTTGAGAGTCAAAAAAACATACACAAACAAAACCAAATTAAACCCTGCGGCTCGTGACGATACACTGATATGTAAAGACACGAAACGATCGGTCTATGCAAGAAACTGAACACAAAAAAACACACAAACAAAACCAAATTAACCCCTGCGGCTCGTGACGATACATTGATGTGTAAAGACACAAACGATCGGTCTGTGCAAGAAGCTGAACAGTATTTATATCGTTTTTTACCTCTGATTCACTGCAATGTCCGAACCATCCTGAACACATTCTCAACAGCAGGCACATGAGGCATCTTCTTCTTCTCCTTGCTTTACGGCGGATCGCAGACTTATAAGTGCATTACTGCCACCTATCTTTCAAATGGACCACTGACACTCTATCTACAAGCTCAATTAGGCGTGTCAATGGTCCATTTGAGAGATAGGTGGCAGTAATGCACTTATTAGTCTGCGATCCGCTGTAAAGCAAGAGGAAGAAGAAGATGCGTCATGCGCCGGCTGTTGAGAACGCGCTCAGGACAGTTCGGACATTGCGGTGAATCAGAGGTAAAAAAAC